AGACCAGACCATGTAGTAGACCAGACAACCATGTAGTAGACCAGACCATGTAGTAGACCAGACCATGTAGTAGACCAGACCAGACCATGTAGTAGACACCAATGTAGTAGACCAACCATGTGTAGACCAGACCATGTAGTAGACCAGACCAGACCATGTAGTAGACCAGACCAGACCATGTAGTAGACCAGACCATGTAGTAGAACAGACCATGTAGTAGACCAGACCAGACCATGTAGTAGACCAGACCATGTAGTAGACCAGACCATGTAGTAGACCAGACCATGTAGTAGACCAGACCAGACCATGTAGTAGACCAGACCATGTAGTAGACCAGACCATGTAGTAGACCAGACCAGACCATGTAGTAGACCAGACCAGACCATATAGTAGACCAGACCATGTAGTAGACCAGACCATGTAGTAGACCAGACCATGTAGTAGACCAGACCATGTAGTAGACCAGACCATGTAGTAGACCAGACCATGCAGTAGTCCAGAACATGTAGTAGACCAGACCAGACCATGTGGTATACCAGAACATGTAGTAGACCAGACCATGTAGTAGACCAGACCATGTAGTAGACCAGACCAGACCATGTGGTAGACCAGAACATGTAGTAGAAACAGACCATGTAGTAGACCAGACCAGACCATGTAGTAGACCAGACCAGACCATGTGGTAGACCAGAACATGTAGTAGACCAGACCATGTAGTAGACCAGACCATGTAGTAGACCAGACCATGTGGTAGACCAGACCATATAGTAGACCAGACCATGTGGTAGACCAGACCATGTAGTAGACCAGACCATGTAGTAGACCAGACCATGTGGTAGACCAGACCATATAGTAGACCAGACCATGTAGTAGACCAGACCATGTAGTAGACCAGACCATGTAGTAGACCAGACCATGTGGTAGACCAGACCATATAGTAGACCAGACCATGTAGTAGACCAGACCATGTAGTAGACCAGACCATGTAGTAGACCAGACCATGTAGTAGACCAGACCATGTAGTAGACCAGACCAGACCATGTGGTAGACCAGAACATGTAGTAGACCAGACCATGTAGTAGACCAGACCATGTAGTAGACCAGACCATGTAGTAGACCAGACCAGACCATGTAGTAGACCAGACCATGCAGTAGTCCAGAACATGTAGTAGACCAGACCATATAGTATTTAACCGTACCTGTTGACAGTGTCCTGGGAGTAGTAGATGCCGTAGGTCTGGACTGTTCCTCTGGTCTCCTGCGGGGGGCGCCAGCTGAGGCGGACAAAACGGCTGGACACTAGGACAGGGACCACGTCACGGGGAGCAGAGGGGAGGAGGACACCTGAGCTGGGGACAACTGGTGGAGGAGGAGAGGAGTAAGTCAAATAAGTAGGGGACTCAGGGCTAGGGACCTGAGGGGCTGGTGTTGGGGAGGCTACTGTTTCTAGGGTCAGGTGTGTTAGGATTTAGGTAGGAGGGAGGGGGGAGGAAGGAGGGAGGGCGGGAGGGAAGGAAGGAAGGAAAGGAAGGAAGGAAGAAGGAAAAGGAAGGAAGGGAAGGAGAAGGAAGGACGGAAAGGAGAGAAGGAAGGAAGGAAGGACAGGGAAGGAACAAGGAGGACGGACCAGGAAAACAGCAGAACAGACAAGAAGGACCCAATGGAACCTGAAGACAGGACCGGACACGAAGCGCCAAGGAAGGAAGCCGCAGGAAGGCCGCGGCAAGGAAGGTAGGACCAGCGACGCAAGGAAGGCAAGGAAGGAAGAAGGGGAGGAAGGAAGGAAGAGGAACGCCCAAGGAAGGAAGCCTTGAAGGAAAGGAAACGAGGATAGGAACAGAGGAGAAAGGGGAAGGAAGGAAGGATGACAACAGGAGCATGACCGATGGAATGAGAAGAAAGGAAGGAAAGAAAGAGCAGGAAGGAAAGAAGAACAAGTGATCAAGATGATCACAGACAAGGAAAGGGAACCGTTATTTTCAGTTATAGATAGATCATTGCAGTGCAGTAGAAGTGTCATACAGAAGCAGTCAGTGAAAGAGGGAGAGAGATAGAGAATGTTAACAGATAAGTAGCTTCATTTGTAGCGGTGGTTATAGCATCGTATGTAATATGTATGTTCGTGACATGTATGTATGTCCGTGACAAGATGCATGGATGGATCTGAAGTCATGTATGTTCAGTGACGAGATCGAACGGGTTCAGAGAGACATGCCATCATGTTTGTTTGACCCATTACTGGGTCAACGCATGGTATCGGAGAGGGCTAAATGGCCTAACAAAATGGCCTAACCATAACCAACATATTTTCTATGTTCTCCCTGTAGCTCTCTGGACATCTTCCCTATTGAAACTGAAGAGAAAGCCTGTAAGTTCTAACGTGTGAGGAAAACTGTGTAGCGTGAATCCGTCAATGCTGGGAGCTCTGAACACTGTGGTTAGACACACTGAGAATCAGCCCATGACAGTACCCATTGTCTGTAAATGGTGTACTGCGCTGTATTGGTTCATCTCCCTCTGTTGGACTGAGGCAGGGAGCTCATAGGTTTTTTTTCCTTCTCACCTATGATAATGCTCTGATGCTGAAATAGCCATGTCACACACACCAGCCTCACAAACACACACACACACACACACACACACACACACACACACACACCGGTTACACACATCAGTCTATGTCACACACACTGGGCAACGTCATGCACGCCAGCCTCACAGTTTAACACACATCGTCATCAGGGAATGAGTGGTATGGCCAAACTAACCCTGTTGACTCACTGCCTTCACAGATAATATACCTGGAAAAACCCCTTACCTGGAAACACTGTCAGGATATATCTCAAAACAAAGAAGGTGAGATTTTCAACGGACTAACACCCACACAAGACAGATATACCTATTGGGGGGAAGATGTCTCCTTTCATTAAAGGTGTGTCGTAAAAATATAATGTATCCGTCCAAACTCCCCGAGATAAAGGTCAGGGAGGAAGTATTCATCCTGTGGATATTCTTTAAGGTCAGGGGGGAGGGGTTAATCCTGTGGATATTCTTTAAGGTCAGGGGGGAGGGGTTAATCCTGTGGATATTCTTTAAAGTCAGGGGGGAGGGGTTAATCCTGTGGATATTCTTTAAGGTCAGGGGGGGAGTGGTTAATCCTGTGGATATTCTTTAAAGTCAGGGGGGAGGGGTTAATCCTGTGGATATTCTTTAAAGTCAGGGGGGAGGGGTTAATCCTGTGGATATTCTTTAAAGTCAGGGGGGGAGGGGTTAATCCTGTGGATATTCTTTAAAGTCAGGGGGGGAGGGGTTAATCCTGTGGATATTCTTTAAAGTCAGGGGGGAGGGGTTAATCCTGTGGATATTCTTTAAAGTCAGGGGGGAGGGGTTAATCCTGTGGATATTCTTTAAAGTCAGGGGGGAGGGGTTAATCCTGTGGATATTCTTTAAAGTCAGGGGGGAGGGGTTAATCCTGTGGATATTCTTTAAGGTCAGGGAGGAGGGGTTAATCCTGTGGATATTCTTTAAAGGCTTTGTCTTGTACTGTACAGTATGTCAATACTCTGCTACAGCTGCTAGGGTGCTAGTTTGCATCCTAAATGGCACCCTATCCCCTACATAGTGCACTACTTTTGACCAGAGCCCATAGGGCTATACAAGTACAGTGGGGAAAAAAAGTATTTAGTCAGCCACCAATTGTGCAAGTTCTCCCACTTAAAAAGATGAGAGAGGCCTGTAATTTTCATCATAGGTACACGTCAACTATGACAGACAAAATGAGATTTTTTTTCTCCAGAAAATCACATTGTAGGATTTTTTATGAATTTATTTGCAAATTATGGTGGAAAATAAATATTTGGTCAATAACAAAAGTTTCTCAATACTTTGTTATATACCCTTTGTTGGCAATGACAGAGGTCAAACATTTTCTGTAAGTCTTCACAAGGTTTTCACACACTGTTGCTGGTATTTTGGCCCATTCCTCCATGCAGATCTCCTCTAGAGCAGTGATGTTTTGGGGCTGTCGCTGGGCAACACGGACTTTCAACTCCCTCCAAAGATTTTCTATGGAGTTGAGATCTGGAGACTGGCTAGGCCACTCCAGGACCTTGAAATGCTTCTTACGAAGCCACTCCTTCGTTGCCCAGGCGGTGTGTTTGGGATCATTGTCATGCTGAAAGACCCAGCCACATTTCATCTTCAATGCCCTTGCTGATGGAAGGAGGTTTTCACTCAAAATCTCACGATACATGGCCCCATTCATTCTTTCCTTTATACGGATCAGTCGTCATGGTCCCTTTGCAGAAAAACAGCCCCAAAGCATGATGTTTCCACCCCCATGCTTCACAGTAGGTATGGTGTTCTTTGGATGCAACTCAGCATTCTTTGTCCTCCAAACACGACGAGTTGAGTTTTTACCAAAAAGTTATATTTTGGTTTCATCTGACCATATGACATTCTCCCAATCCTCTTCTGGATCATCCAAATGCACTCTAGCAAACTTCAGACGGGCCTGGACATGTACTGGCTTAAGCAGGGGGACACGTCTGGCACTGCAGGATTTGAGTCCCTGGCGGCGTAGTGTGTTACTGATGGTAGGCTTTGTTACTTTGGTCCCAGCTCTCTGCAGGTCATTCACTAGGTCCCCCCGTGTGGTTCTGTGATTTTTGCTCACCGTTCTTGTGATCATTTTGAGATCGAGGGAGCCCCAGATTGAGGGAGATTATCAGCGGTCTTGTATGTCTTCCATTTCCTAATAATTGATCCCACAGTTGATTTCTTCAAACCAAGCTGCTTACCTATTGCAGATTCAGTCTTCCCAGCCTGGTGCAGGTCTACAATTTTGTTTCTGGTGTCCTTTGACAGCTCTTTGGTCTTGGCCATAGTGGAGTTTGGAGTGTGACTGTTTGAGGTTGTGGACAGGTGTCTTTTATACTGATAACAAGTTCAAACAGGTGCCATTAATACAGGTAACGAGTGGAGGACAGAGGAGCCTCTTAAAGAAGAAGTTACAGGTCTGTGAGGGCCAGAAATCTTGCTTGTTTGTAGGTGACCAAAGACTTATTTTCCACCATAATTTGCAAATAAATTCATTAGAAATCCTACAATGTGATTTTCTGGATTTTTTTTCTAATCAATTTGTCTGTCATAGTTGACGTGTACCTATGATGAAAATTACAGGCCTCTCTCATCTTTTTAAGTGGGAGAACTTGCACAATTGGTGGCTGACTAAATACTTTTTTCCCCCACTGTAATATGGAGCCATTTGGGACGCAGCCAGTAAGTTCTGGAAATGACACGGTTTATGAATGGCTATACAGCGCCTTGTTAAGTCCACATGTACGCTGCCTTGTTAAGTCCACATGTACGCAGGCCTTGTTAAGTCCACATGTACGCTGCCTTGTTAAGTCCACATGTACACTGTCTTGTTAAGTCCACATGTACGCTGCCTTGTTAAGTCCACATGTACACTGCCTTGTTAAGTCCACATGTACGCAGGCCTTGTTAAGTCCACATGTACGCAGGCCTTGTTAAGTCCACATGTATGCTGCCTTGTTAAGTCCACATGTACGCAGGCCTTGTTAAGTCTATATGTTTCTCTCAGAACAGAATGTACAGTCAGTTACTAGTCAGGGTCTGCGTCTGAAAAGGCTAACTGTTCTCTATATAGTGCACTTCTTTTGAACAGAGCCCTATGGGCCCTGATTAAAGTTAGTGCACTACATAGGGGATAGGGTGCCATTTAAGACAGCCAGAGAATTACCTCTATGGTTTAAACCCAATTGTCTGTTGATTCAGACGTGCTCTTTAATATCTGCCTCTGTTCTCCCATGTTCCAGGTAGTTTAACAGTCTCTGGTTCAGTTAAAGGGTTCACTAGACACACATTACCTCTAGAGAAATACCTCAGCATCCACCCACATACCCCCAGTCCAAGCCTCGTCTGGCATACCCTCTGCCACCCCCACATACCCCCAGTCCAAGCCTCGTCTGGCATACCCTCTGCCACCCCTACGTTCCCTCCAGTCCAAGCCTCGTCTGGCATACCCTCTGCCACCCCCCACGTTCCCTCCAGTCCAAGCCTCGTCTGGCATACCCTCTGCCACCCCCACGTTCCCTCCAGTCCAAGCCTCGTCTGGCATACCCTCTGCCACCCCCATGTTCCCTCCAGTCCAAGCCTCGTCTGGCATACCCTCTGCCATCCCCTACGTTCCCTCCAGTCCAAGCCTCGTCTGGCATACCCTCTGCCACCCCCACGTTCCCTCCAGTCCAAGCCTCATCTGGCATACCCTCTGCCACCCCCATGTTCCCTCCAGTCCAAGCCTCGTCTGGCATACCCTCTGCCACCCCCACGTTCCCTCCAGTCCAAGCCTCGTCTGGCATACCCTCTGCCACCCCCACGTTCCCTCCAGTCCAAGCCTCGTCTGGCATACCCCCTGCCACCCCCCACGTTCCCTCCAGTCCAAGCCTCGTCTGGCATACCCTCTGCCACCCCCCCACGTTCCCTCCAGTCCAAGCCTCGTCTGGCATACCCTCTGCCACCCCCACGTTCCCTCCAGTCCAAGCCTCGTCTGGCATACCCCCTGCCACCCCCACGTTCCCTCCAATCCAAGCCTCGTCTGGCATACCCTCTGCCACCCCCCACGTTCCCTCCAGTCCAAGCCTCGTCTGGCATACCCTCTGCCACCCCCACGTTCCCTCCAGTCCAAGCCTCGTCTGGCATACCCCCTGCCACCCCCCACGTTCCCTCCAGTCCAAGCCTCGTCTGGCATACCCTCTGCCACCCCCATGTTCCCTCCAGTCCAAGCCTCGTCTGGCATACCCCCTGCCACCCCCACGTTCCCTCCAATCCAAGCCTCGTCTGGCATACCCTCTTCCACCCCCCCACGTTCCCTCCAGTCCAAGCCTCGTCTGGCATACCCTCTGCCACCCCCACGTTCCCCCCAGTCCAAGCCTCGTCTGGCATACCCTCTGCCACCCCCACGTTCCCCCCAGTCCAAGCCTCGTCTGGCATACCCTCTGCCACCCCCACATTCCCTCCAGTCCAAGCCTCGTCTGGCATACCCTCTGCCACCCCCCCATGTTCCCTCCAGTCCAAGCCTCGTCTGGCATACCCTCTGCCACCCCCACGTTCCCTCCAGTCCAAGCCTCGTCTGGCATACCCTCTGCCACCCCCACGTTCCCTCCAGTCCAAGCCTCGTCTGGCATACCCCCTGCCACCCCCACGTTCCCCTCCAGTCCAAGCCTCGTCTGGCATACCCCCTGCCACCCCCCACGTTCCCTCCAATCCAAGCCTCGTCTGGCATACCCTCTTCCACCCCCCCACGTTCCCTCCAGTCCAAGCCTCGTCTGGCATACCCTCTGCCACCCCCACGTTCCCCCCAGTCCAAGCCTCGTCTGGCATACCCTCTGCCACCCCCACGTTCCCCCCAGTCCAAGCCTCGTCTGGCATACCCTCTGCCACCCCCACGTTCCCTCCAGTCCAAGCCTCGTCTGGCATACCCTCTGCCACCCCCCCATGTTCCCTCCAGTCCAAGCCTCGTCTGGCATACCCTCTGCCACCCCCACGTTCCCTCCAGTCCAAGCCTCGTCTGGCATACTAGCCTGTATGGCCATGTAGTGAAACACATGTGTAGTACGTGAACAGGTTTATAAGTTGATCTGTGGAGAGACACAGATAGATGACTTTTCCGATGACCCCTCCATCATCCCACTGAGCAAGAAGAATAATGAGTCCATCCCAAATGGCCCCCTATTTTCTATATAGTGCACTACACAACAAAGTGGACAGTACCATTGACCGCATCCATCTCCATTCATCCGTGTCCCAGTGCTAATTCAGACCAGGCTAAACTCTCACACTCTCTCGTTGATTAGCTGTATTTTGGGTTAGTGACGGCTAATGTGCCTCAGCCTGGTTCACATTAAACACATCATAATAGGAGCACTCAGTGTTCCAGCCCAGATGTGCTGGAGTGGGGTGGACAGTTTACACAGCCTGCTGCAATTGCACTGCGGACGCTTGTTAGGCTCCTGGTGTGTGTGTGTGTGTGTGTGTGTGTGTGTGTGTGTGTGTGTGTGTGTGTGTGTGTGTGTGTGTGTGCGTGTGTGCGTGTGCGTGTGCGTGTGTGCGTGTGTGCGTGTGTGTGTGTGTGTGTGTGTCTGTGTGTGCGTGTGTGCGTGTGTGCGTGTGTGCGTGTGTGCGTGTGTGCGTGTGTGCGTGTGTGTGTGTGTGTGCGTGTGTGCGTGCGTATGTGCGTGTGTGCGTGTGTGTGTGTGTGTGTGCGTGTGTGCGTGTGTGCGTGTGTGCGTGTGTGTGTGTGTGTGTGTGTGCGTGTGCGCGTGTGTGTGTGTGTGTGTGTGTGTGTGTGTGTGGGTGTGCATGCGTGCGTGCCATCTCCATCTCTGGTCAATGAGGAGAATCAGCCTCTGTTTGGCCTGTGTTACCCTTGACTGCTAATGCCCACTTTGGTGCCATTACTTTTTTCAATCAGTTGCAGGAAGTAAACACTCTAATACCAAATTCCGATCCAGTGAATTTGGTATCGTTCAGCCACCCATTGTTCATTTGAAATCAGTGCATATCTACGCTCTTAAAGATTCCCAGGTGTTTAAAAAAATAAATAACGTTCCTTTGATTACAAGTTATGTGCTCTGTCTTAAATCAGAATCGCTGCTTTATGTTTGTTTTGTATTTGTATTTATTATGGATCCCCATTAGTTCCTGCCGAGGCAGCAGCTACTCTTCCTGGGGTTTATTATGGATCCCCATTAGTTCCTGCCGAGGCAGCAGCTACTCTTCCTGAGGTTTATTATGGATCCCCATTAGTTCCTGCCGAGGCAGCAGCTACTCTTCCTGGGGTTTATTATGGATCCCCATTAGTTCCTGCCAAGGCAGCAGCTACTCTTCCTGAGGTTTATTATGGATCCCCATCAGTTCCTGCCGAGGCAGCAGCTACTCTTCCTGGGGTTTATTATGGATCCCCATCAGTTCCTGCCGAGGCAGCAGCTACTCTTCCTGGGGTTTATTATGGATCCCCATCAGTTCCTGCCGAGGCAGCAGCTACTCTTCCTGGGGTCCAGCAAAATGTAGGCAGTTATACAATTTTAAAAACATTACAATACATTCGCAACAGATTTCATAACACATTAAGTGTGTGCGCTCAGGCCCCTACTCCACTACCACACATCTACAACACAAAATCCATGTGCACGTGTGTGTAGAGTGTGTAAGTTACCAGTTGAACTGCTCTCTGTTGATTAACCTTTTACTGCAATGGGCTAAATCAGGGTCACACAGTGTTTCATGGTAGTCTTAAACAAATCTACTTTGAAACAAAAGTATACACCTCACACACATAGTTATGGGCTTAAAAAAAAGACGACACCTGTACCATGTCAGGTATAGAGTTGAAATGTATTACATTTTGAGTTTGCATCCCAATGTTACATATTATATACATCACAGAAGACTGAAATATAACAAAACCGTTTGACATAAAAACACTGGATCTTGTTTATTAATTATGAAATTATGAAAAATATTAATAACATTCCCCCCCCATGAAGACACTAGGACATTTGACTGCAGAAAAGGACTATGGCAATACTGCACTTGCCATAGTAAACAACTATTGCTCACCAGTGACAAATATATATAAAAACAAATATATCTGTGTATTTAGTGGGGGAAAAATAAAGTGTTTCACTATTATGACACCTTAAAAGTACTTCTGGCCAAAGACAAAATCCTTCTTCAACAGCCATCAATCCAGATCAAGTAGTCACCTTTGTTTGATGAGCTCTGAGATCACAGGGTTCCCTCTGTCTTTGATTCAGACGAACCACACAGACACGACTTTGCTTTGAAATACAAAAAAACACATTTGTCTGAAGTCCTTATACGTTCTTTTCAAGTTACAGAGTGTTCAGAGCGTCATGCAACATCATACAAAGTGTTCGTTCATATTTGTAATGTACATTTTTCAACTGTGACAGTGTTCTGATAGGAAAGTGAGGACATTATCTCGACATTACAGTGTTTTTATAGGAAAGTGAGGAAAATATCTCATCTTGACAGTGTTTTTATAGGAAATTGATGAAAATGGTGACAGAATATCAAGATGACTATTGTAAATATCTGTTGGATGTGCTATGCTGTCACTCTTCACTGAGATTGTTCTCTGTCTGTTCACGCTTCACTGAGACAGTTCTCCGTCTGTTCACTCTTCACTGAGACAGTTCTCCGTCTGTTCACTCTTCACTGAGACAGTTCTCTGTCTGTTCCCGCTTCACTGAGACAGTTCTCTGTCTGTTCACTCTTCAGAGACAGTTCTCTGTCTGTTCCCGCTTCACTGAGACAGTTCTCCGTCTGTTCACTCTTCACTGAGACAGTTCTCCGTCTGTTCACTCTTCACTGAGACAGTTCTCTGTCTGTTCACTCTTCAGAGACAGTTCTCTGTCTGTTCCCGCTTCACTGAGACAGTTCTCCGTCTGTTCACTCTTCACTGAGACAGTTCTCCGTCTGTTCCCGCTTCACTGAGACAGTTATCCGTCTGTCCACTCTTCACTGAGACAGTTCTCCGTCTGTTCACTCTTCACTGAGACAGTTCTCCGTCTGTTCCCGCTTCACTGAGACAGTTATCCGTCTGTCCACTCTTCACTGAGACAGTTCTCCGTCTGTTCCCGCTTCACTGAGACAGTTCTCCGTCTTTTCCCGCTTCACTGAGACAGTCCTCTGTCTGTTCCCGCTTCACTGAGACAGTTCTCCGTCTGTTCACTCTTCAGAGACAGTTCTCCGTCTGTTCACTCTTCACTGAGACAGTCCTCTGTCTGTTCCCGCTGACAACAAGTTGTGCAAAAAAACATAAATACCTTATTTACATAAGTATTCAGACCCTTTGCTATGACACTCGAAATTGAGCTCAGGTAAATCCTGTTTCCATTGATCCTCCTTGAGATGTTTCTACAACTTCATTGGAGTCAATTGATTGGACATGATTTGGAAAGGCACACACCTATCTATATAAGGTCCCACAGTTGACAGTGCATGTCAGAGCAAAAACCAAGCCATGAGGTTGAAGGAATTGTCTGTAGAGCTCCAAGACAGGATTGTGTCAAGGCACAGATCTGGGGAAGGTTACCAAAAAATTTTTGCAGCATTGAAGGTCCCCAAGAACACAGTGGCCTCCATCTTTCTTAAATGGAAGAAGTTTGGAACCACCAAGGCTCTTCCTAGAGCTGGCCACCTGGCCAAATTGAGCAATCGGGGGAGAAGGGCCTTGGTCAGAGAGGTAACCAAGAACCTGATGGTCACTCAGACAGAGCTCCAGAGTTCCTCTGTGGAGATGACAGAACCTTACAGAAGGACAACCATCTCTGCAGCACCACCAATCAGGCCTTTATGGTAGAGTGGCCAGACGGAAGCCACTCCTCAGTAAAATGCACATGACAGCCCGCTTGGAGTTTGCCAAAAGGCACCTAAAGGACTCAGACCATGGGAAACAAGATTATCTGGTCTGATGAAACCAAGATTGAACTCTTTGGCCTGAATGCCAAGCGTCTCGCCTGGAGGAAACCTGGCACCATCCCTACGGTGAAGCATGGTGGTGGCAGCATCATGCTGTGGGGATGTTTTTCAGTGGAAGGGACTGGGAGACTGAACAGGAACGAGGGAAAGATGAACAGAGCAAAGTACAGAGAGATCCTTGATGAAAACCTTCTCCAGAGCGATCACGACCTTAGACTGGAGTGAAGGTTCACCTTCCAACAGGACAACAACCCTAATCACACAACCAAGACAATGCAGGAGTGGGTTCGGGACAAGTCTCTGAATGTCCTTGAGTGGCCCAGCCAGAGCCCGGACTTGAACCCCATCGAACATCTCTGGAGAGACCTGAAAATAGCTATGCAGCGACACTCCCCATCCATCCTGACAGAGCTTGAGAGGATCTGCAGAGAAGAATGGGAGAAACTCCCCAAATACAGGTGTGCCAAGCTTGTAGCGTCATACCCAAGAAGACTTGAGGCTGTAATCACTGCCAAAGGGGCTTCAAGAAAGTACTGAGTAAAGGGTCTGAATACTTATTTAAATTTTTTATTTTAGAATAAGGCTGTAACCTTACAAAATGTGGAAAACGTCAAGGGGTCTGAATACTTTCCAAATGCACTGTATGCCAATTATATGATGTTCTGACAGTATTCTGTCCCCTATCATCACTTTTTAAACTTTTGGTGCTGAGATCGCTAGCACCACCAGGCTCCACCAGCCTCTCTGTTGCTTGGTCTCAACAGGCAGCCTGAACCTAGCAGAGGTCCCTAGCACCACCAGGCTCCACCAGCCTCTCTGCTGCTTGGTCTCAACAGGCAGCCTGAACCTAGCAGAGGTCCCTAGCACCACCAGGCTCCACCAGCCTCTCTGTTGCTTGGTCTCAACATGCAGCCTGAACCTAACAGAGGTCCCTAGCACCACCAGGCTCCACCAGCCTCTCTGCTGCTTGG